CGGCGCCGGAGCCCAAGTGGCGTCTAGGACAGCGCCTAGGTCTTGCACTCTTTGAGATTCCGGCCACAACTATTTTTGTCTTTTTTTGTCACCAGCCAGAATCTGTGGTTGCGACTTTGGGGCTTCGAAGGCAAAGACGCTGGGTGGAAAAATTCCGACAGAGCCGGAGCTGTAGGAAGATAAGAGGAAATCTTAGGCTGAAGGGACCCTGAAGAGTCTTGATGGGAACTAACGTGTAAAAGGACTGACTGTATGAAGATCGCACACCTAGTGCGTGGCTTCCACTTAGAATCAGCAGGAGTTTGAGAGTAATGTTTGTTTGTTTTGAAACAAACTCGCAAAAAGGTTGCAAACGTAGCACAAAAACATTACGCCCCTGAACAGTTTTGAGATTGAAGTTGCTAACGTTAAGCCAGTGTGCCTGAGCACCTGATACATAGTCAAAATAACTATCTTAGCCAAACTCTTTATGCGATACATTCGTTTTGCTGGTTGTCTCAATGGCGTCCTTTATACTAAAGGTCTTCGTTTCCAAGATAAGTGTTCTAGAAACTTGCAATTCGTATCTTTAGCTGCCTTCAATCTGGAATACTTCCTTTGTCTTTCTTTGATTTTTGCAACCTTGACACACATTGTTTTTATAGAAAGGCCTCCATTTTAAGTTTGCCTGATTATTTATTCATGATTAGATTTAAACTAGGCATCTTTGAAGACTCTCGCAAGTAATTGTGTGATATGTGTCTATGCTTGTTTTTCATTGCTTCCCATTAAATGGCACTGTAAAGTTACTTTTTCCCTCTTTGTAATTAGTATTTATTTTCTGAGGAAGATTCTTTGAAGCTCTCTTGTTTCAAGGTACCTGAAATAACCTTGTCTAGAAATTCATAACTTACAATACTGAATTCAGAATTTTCCACTTTATTAAGCTGATTATAGTGTATTTCCATTATTTATTTACTTGCTTTTGCATTTATATTTATTTTTATTTATGTGTGTGCATCTACATGAATGTATGTGCATCACATACATGCAGTGCCTACAGAGACCAGAAGAGGGCACCAGATTCCCCAGACTGGAGTTACAGACAGTGGTGAGCTCCCTAATGAGGCTTCTGGGAACTGAACTGGGGTCTTCTACAAGATTAGTGAGTGACTTTCTTTTTTGTTTTGTGCTTCATCTTGTATAGCTCGGTCCTAGAAACATGACTGGGGCAGTGAGGGAATGAAGAAAGGACAGACCCAGGTGCAGAAAAGTTGGGGTAAGGTGGGTCGTGAGCATTCTGATGGAGTGGCATCAACTATGCAACAACCCACTGGACTTAGCACATGGATTATGTACAGCACAGAGGGATGGTTAGCTAGTCTTTAAAGGAGGTCTCTACAGGCAGCCTTATCAGCTGCAGTTGCTAGTTTTTCCCTCACTTGTCAATCATTAGTAAACACTCCAACCAGAAGAAAGCTTTGCCACTGCCATGGGTTTGAGGCCTTGGGCCCTTGACATGGCCGTGCCCATATCCATTCATTCAGGGCTTATCTCCATTCCTTCCGGATTTGTTTTGTTTATATGTAGGTATGTGTGATTGTGTTTATGTGCACCATGGAAACCTGAAGATAGCACAGGAGCTCTGAGAACTGGCGTCAAAGGTGGTCATGAGCTGCTGATTTGGGAACTGAACCAGGGTTCTCTGCAAGAGCATCATGGAGCTCTCTCTTCAGCCCCTTCATCTCTTTTTATGATCAAATTCTCCTAAGTTTTCTCAGTAGGCACTTTATTCTTGCTTCTCTGTCCTTGTGTTTTGAGTTGTTTCCCAACATCTATGGCTAGACATTTTAAAAGCTATAACACAGCTGGGCGTTGGTGGTGCACGCCTTTAATCCCAGCACTCGGGAGGCATAGGCAGGCGGATCTCTGTGAGTTCGAGGCCAGGCTGGTCTCCAAAGCGAGTACCAGGATAGGCTCCAAAACTACACAGAGAAACCCTGTCTTGAAAAAACTAAAACAAAAACAAAAAAAACAAAACAAAACAAAACAAAAAGCTATAACACATTGTAAGCCTTATGCATACACTCTGCCCGTCATCCAGATTCTGTACCCTTGAAGACATGTCTCCATATTCTTGGCACACCTTTACCTTCTGGCATAAGTAATATATCCCTGGCTCACCAGGGTGAATGCAGAAATTTCTTGAGAAGCCCTGGTTCCTTTTAATGGATAATTATATCTTGCAGCACTAGACTTGTTTGCTGCTGCAGTAGCAACATTACTGCCCAGCCTGAATCAATGGATGCATTTAGAAAATATTTGTATATTCATACTCATGGAGTTCACCAGTATGCATATACTTGAAGAAGGAGTTTCTGTCCTGTCCTGATCCCACAGACATTTAGTCACAAATAAACACGCAGAGGCTTATAGTAATCATAAACTGTTTGGCTGATGGCTCAGGCTTCTTATGGGCTAGCTCTCTCTTAATTATTAACCCATTTCCATAAAACTATGTATTGCCACGAGGCTGTGGCTTACCTATAATGCTCAGGTATGTTACTCCTTCGGTGATGACATAGTGTCTCCCTCGAGAGTCTCTGCATTTCTCTTCCCAGCCTTCTCCTAGTCTGGTAGCCCCACCTATACTTCCTGCTTGGCTACTGGCCAATCAGCATTTATTCATCAAACAATAAGAGAAACATACACACAGTATACAGAAGGACATCCCCCATCATATATTCATGAAGCTATATTTCTTTCTCTAACTGTATAAATTTCCAGTAAGAATATAAAGCTAGGTAGGAGTCCCTCGGTAGGCAAAGCACCATTATAAATATTCAGTATGTTTAAACATATCAACATGGATTTTGACCCACAATGGCAAGCAAATAATCCTGAGCTGTTGATTCACAAAGGAAGTAGTTAAACTCACTAGTAACTCTACACAGCCTTACTGAGCAAAGGTAACTATTGCCACTGTGTATTTAACAGTATTTTACACAAGAAATGACCACAGTTACATTCCTGTTTGATCCTAAGGGCACTTGGGTTCCTTCCCAGCCCTCAATCCCTCACCAGACAAAGAAATAGAGTACACATGCATGAAGTTTATTATTTTGTTCCAAAGTAAGCATTTGACCTCTACCTTTGAATTTTCCTCCTGTGGAAAATGAATGTGTTGTGCTGAGACAACCTCTCTTCACTTTATAAAATCATGTTTCTATGGTTACTCTTAAAAAAAGAGCTCCTTAAGGTAAATGGAGGAGCTGTGATTTTGAAGAAATAAACCCAGAAAGCTGTTGTGGAATATTTGTACACTGTGTGTAAACATATTGGTGTGATTGGTATATTAAAAAGCTGAATGGGCAATAACTAGGAGGAGGTTGGGTGGGAATTCCAGGGACAGAAAGGACTCTGGAAAGAAGGAAGGCAGAGTCGCCAACCAGATGGAGAGGAAACAGGAGGTGCAAGATGAAAGAGCGGTAATGCTAAGTTATGGGAGTTAGTTAGGAACAAGCCTATAGGCAGAGCTTTCACAATCAATAAGAAGTTGTTATCTTCTTCTGTTGTTATCTGGGAGCGGGCTGGCAGGACAAAGACTCATTACAGAAAGTGAAGGTATTTGTGCATGTTTGGAATAAGATTCTAGAAGGGAAGTTTTCCAATGTTAAAACCAGGCCTTTTGTATCATGGCTGGCTGTTTTCCATGTTATCACAGCACATGTATTCAACATTCTGTAAAATGTATTGAGCTAATGCTTCTTAAAAAGCCTTTGTGGGGCTGGAGCAATGGCTCAGTGGTTAAGAACGTTGACTGCTCTTTAAGAAGACCTCTGCTCCATTCCCAGTAACCACATGGTGTCTCATAACCACCTGTAACTCCAGTCCCAAGGGATCCAATGCCGTCTCTGACCTCAAAAGGCACCAGGCATGCACATGGTAAACATACATACATGCAAGCAAAACACCCATATACATAAATAATAAAATTAAACTGAAATGTTAAGTATGAAAAAGTATTTTAAAGGCACGGAATCATATTTTAAAATATCAGCATCAACTTGAACATAATCCTACTACCTCTACATGACAATCATTTCCACTTATTTGGCTTTCTTTAAACATTTACATATCTGTGAACAGTGAGTACATGTGGCATATCCACTTTGGACTCATAGTTATTTCATTGCTACTGGTCATATAAACATACTTTATGAGTATAATGTTGCTAGCACTTAATCATATGAGCCTGGCAGGAAAGGAAAATCAATTTCATTATCAACACATTGGAAAGGGGAACCTTCATTTCCTATGTATAGACACACGTAATTGACAGAGTGAGGTGCTCTTCAGAATAACTCTATAATCAGCTATGAATTTTCTCTTCCCTTACACCTGCTATAAGGGTTATTTTTGTCAACTGGACAAAGTCTAGAATCACCTGGAATGAGAGTTTCAATGAGGGATTATCTAGATTTGGTTGGCCTGTGATTCTCTGTGGGGGGATTATCATGATTGTGTTAATTGATGTCAGAAGACCCAGCCTACTGTGGGTAGC